TGGCCCCAGAACTACCACTGCTTCCTCAAAAAATGATTATGTTGACATCATTTGTCTATTATTTGCAGGACTGAGACTGGATGGAAGAAACAGACTTAATTCTCTCAAATGATTCAACAGAAAAGAATTGAGACGAGTTAGGAGCTTGAGAGCTTTGGTTTGCAACTGTAGAGTATTTGCAATAGATATGCATTTAATTTTTAATATAAAATCACATTGATCCACTTGTGAAGTGATGAATGTGTTAAACTAGATAGGCCCAGAAATTAGTCAGCACTGAGTATATTTTGTTGCTGCTTGGACTATGTTATGATCCTAGCTGATGGTACAAGTTAGATTCCCAAATGAAATCTGGTTTCAGTTTTTAAAAAGAAGTAAGTTAATTTGGTGGTCAGTCATAGCACATGAAACTGCAGAATTTCTTTAACAAGACAAACAAGTTTATTGTACACACAAGAATTAAAAAGCTAAATATAAAACATAATTAAAAAGATCTTAAAACTTATAGCAAAACAAAGTTTCAATCGGTTTCCTGAGGCTATAACATAAATATTCAAGTCCATTAAAAATCTGACATAGAAAGGTAATTTAAAATTCTATAAACTGATTCTCTCTAGTTTTTTTTTGCTGTAAACTGTGGAATCTGCTTACATGAATACTCACAAAACTGAAAGCTTAAACTTTCTCAGCTTTTAATTAACTGTGGATTTCTCACCAAACACTCCTGGTTTGAAAAGCGCTCAATTTAAACTTCAGCTGAGGTAGGTTTATCCTTGAATGCTCTGAAAATCTCCCTTTCTAAAATAGAAATGACATTGACTTCTGATCCCAGTCTAGTTTCCTCTGAATTGCCTAAAACTTTCAGTTTCTGGGTTTTCCAAACTCAAATCAATCCTTGATTATTCCCAATTAAAAACAAAGTAATAATCTCCAATATTTACTCAACCTGTCATAAAACCCAGTACAAATATTTTATTCCATTTACAGCCCAGGGATTTGGAGTCACATGCTCACTGACACATACTGGATTAGGGAACTGCTCTGGAAGGACAGCCCTACAAAGAAAAGTCCCTTCACAAAAGTAATTAACACTCAAGCGTTACTATTCTGAAATTCAAACTCTACAACTAATATATACCCTATATATATATAAATCACGCACCGTTCATAAAAACTACAAAGATGCCAAAAGGTTTGGCAAACAGCATATACATATTTCAAGCCAAATATGGGCTTAATTGCCTTATGGGTAAAGACAAAACTCCTAGTTTTGTTTGTATTTATGAAATCCACGTCAAGGCAGTTCCTGCTAGATGCAACCAAGAAGGAGATTAACTGAATTTGGAATAAGGAGTGCCCCTCCAAAACCCACTTTGAAATAACTGGTTACCGTGTTCCCTTCATTGCAGTTGCATTCGTCTCCCAAGAATTACTGCCACTTGGGGCTCCAACTCTGGTTCTGCCCTAAATCCTCTCCACTGAATCAGCAGGGTCCAAGTCCTCAATCACAACTTCCAAGGTCTATAATAACCTGTTTATGCCACACCTGAAAATCTACATTTTTGACCAGTTTTGATCACCTCTCTGAATATCTTCTTTTGTGACCTTGTGTCAAATTAAGTTTAAAGCACTCCTGTTAAGCTACTTGAGACTTTTTAGCCAATTAAAGATACCATTTAAAGGCAAGTTGCTGTTGTTATCATGTTCTCACTTTCGTCATTTACATAAATGATTTGGATGTGAACATAAGAGGTATGGCTAGTAAGCTTGCAGATGACACCAAAATTGAACGTGTGGTGGACCACAAAGAAGAGTGCCTCAGAGTACAATGAGACCTTGATCAGTTGAGCCAACGGGCCGAGGAGTGGCAGATAGAATAATTTAGATAAATGTGAGGTGCTGCAGTTTGGAAAGGCAAATCAGAGCAGGACATATACACTTAATGGTGAGGTCCTGAGGAGTGTTGCTGAACAAAGAGACCTTGGAGTGCAGGTTTATAGATCCTTGAAAGTGGAGTTGCAGGTAGACAGGGTAGTGAAGAAGGTGTTTAGTATGTTTGCCTTTATTGGTCAGTGCATTGAATACAGGAGTTGGGAGGTCATGTTGCAGCTGTACAGGACATTGGTTAGGCCACTTTTGGAATACTGCATGCTGTTCTGGTCTCCCTGTTATAGGAAAGATGTTTTGCAACTTGAAAGTGTTCAGAAAAGATTTACCAGGATCTTACCAGGGTTGGGGAGTTTGAGCTACAGGAAGAGGCTGAATAGGCTGGGGCTATTTTCCCTGGAGTGTCGGAGGCTGAGGGATGACCTTATAGAGGTTTATGAAATCATGAGGGGTATGGATAGGTTAAATAGACAAGGCCTTTTCCATGAGGTGGGAGGGTCCAAAACTAGAGGACATAGGTTTAAGGTGAGAGGGGAAAGATTTAAAAGGGACCTAAGGGGCAACTTTTTCATGCAGATGGTGTTACATATATGGAATGAGCTGCCAGAGGAAGTGATAGAGACTGGTAAAACTACAACATTTAAAAGGCATCTGGATGGATATATGAAGAGGGAGGGTTTAGAGGGATATGGGTCAAATGCTGACAAATGGGTTTCCACTAAAAGGGTATTGAAGAACCTGGGCTTCTGCTGGATTGTTTCATGAGTATCTTTTGTCTGATGTTGCCGGTTTTAGGAAATGAGCAGGCATCCATGTCTCTCTTATTGTCTGCCACATTTGGGAAGATTACAAATTGATATTAAGTCTGATTAGTCAGCCCACATTGTGAATAAAATATGTGGCTATCAAGTCATGAAACAGAACTTGTATCTGAGTTTCTGTGCCAGAGGTAGGGGCACTGCCGATGCACTACAAGAACTCCTAAGCTAATATTCTAAATAAATTATAAAAGGCATTTCTGAATCTGGGACTGTCCAATAAGTAACATTCGTTTACATTAACACAAGCTTCATTCAGCACTCCAGTCATTTCTTAATACATCACCAGAGCTAAGCATTTAGTTTATGAGAAAACTAGCCACCTTGTAAGTCTGAAGTGCAAATGCAACTTTGTGAATTTTCTGAGCTAAGGCAATGATGCTATGCTATAAGCCACCCGGAGCAAAGGAAAATGAAAATCAGCCAAGATTCCAATTCAGTATTGATGACTACTGCTGAAAAAAAATCTGTGAATGTTCTCAACTGAATAAAAACCAAAAGAACTGCAGATGCTGTAAATCAAGAACAAAAACAAAGTTGCTGGAAAAGCTCAGCAGGTCTGGCAGCATCTGTGAAGGAGAAAACAGAGTTAGTGTTTCAGGTCTGGTGACCCTTCCTCAGAACTGATAGTGGCTGGAAAAACGTCAGTTTATATGCAGAAGATAGGGAGTAAACGATAGGATTGAGCCCGCAGAGAGAGAAAGACAGTTGGACAGACGAAGGAGGTGCTAACGATCAGGCTGGGAGGGTGAATAGTTGTTAATGGGGACTGTTAGTGACTAACAACAGGGGGTGTGTAATGGCAGGCTATGTGGTAACAAGGCCTGGTGTGTGGGATAGGGGACTGGGACATGGGAGAGTTTAGGCCCTAAAATTATTGAACTCAATATTGAGTCCAGAGGGCCGTAGGGTCCCCAAGTGGAAAATGAGGTATTGTTCCTCCAGCTTGCATTGGGCTTCACTGGAACACTGTAGCAAGCCTGAGACAGAGATGTTGGCCAGAGAGCAAGGTGGTGCATTGAAGTGGCAGGCAACAGGTAGTTCAGGGTCTTTTTTGCGAGCAGAACATAGATGCTCTGCAAAGCAGTTGCCAAGTCTACACTTTGTTTCCCCAGTGTAGAGGAGACCACATTGTGAGCAGCGAATGCAGTAGACTAGATTCTGGGAAGTACGGGTGAAGTGTTGCTTCGGCAACTACGGCACCTTCCCCTGTAACCGGCGAAGGTGCAACACCTGCCCATTTACCTCCTCCCTCCCCAATATCCAAGGGACAAAACATACCTTCCAGGTGAAGCAACACTTCACCTGCACTTCCTGGAATCTAGTCTACTACATTCGCTGCTCACAACATGGTCTCCTCTAGATTGGGGAAATGAAGCATAGACTTGGTGACCGCTTCGCAGAACATCTACGTTCTGCAATCAAAAAAGACCCTGAACTACCTGTTGCCTGTCACTTCAATGCACCTTGCTCCCTGGCCAACATCTCTGTATCCAGCTTGCTACAGTGTTCTAGTGAAGCCCAACGCAAGCTGGAGGAACAACACCTCATCTTCTGCTTGGGGACCCTACAGCCCTCCGGACTCAATATTGAGTTCAATAGTTTTAGGGCCTAAACTCTCCCATGTCCCAGCCCCCCACCCCACACACCAGGCCTTGTTACCACATAGCCTGCCACTACATGCCCCCTGTTGTTAGTCACTAACAGTCCCCATTAACAACTATTCACCCTCCCAGCCTGATCGTTAGCAACTCCTTTGTCTGTCCAACTGTCTTTCTCTCTCTTTGGGATCTATCCTATCGTTTACTCCCTACCCCACCCACCTCCCTATTTTCTGCATATAAACTGATGTTTTCCCAGCCACTATCAGTTCTGAGGAAGGGTCACCGGACCCGAAATGTTAACTCTATTTTCTCCTTCACAGATGCTGCCAGACCTGCTGAGCTTTTCCAGCAACTTTGTTTTTGTTCTCAACTGAAATAGCTGATATCCACTGTCCAGCTTCAAACATTAAAAATGATCACAAAGGTAGTTAGTCAGTGTCTATGTGATTGAACTTCAGTGGACCAATTTCCGTATGGTAGGAAATGACAAAATTCATCATTGTCCCAAATGTGTCATGCTTAGCCTTCAGCAAACTGAGGGAAGGAGAGTTTAAAGGCTGTGACTAAGGTCACGATTTACTTCGCAGCAATGACCCCCACACTCTTGTACACTTTAGAGATTTGAACATCCTGCAGCAGGCACATCAAAGCCACTGGAGAAGTTCTACTTTTGGAACATTTTCCAAATCTCATAACAAGAAAAATGGATGAGCAGAGGCATCCACTACAAGGCCAATTTGCTCAGCACTGAGGTGATAATTACTCAGAGCTAGCTCTGTTGGATGGAACTTGCAACTTGTGTTCATGACACCAAGCTCCCAAAGCAGCTGCTCTAATTGGAATTTTGTCGTACGTTGACTTATGGGAGACCCTTGCTTTTGACTGACTGGGAAAAAAAAGGATCATCTCAGAAGAAACACACCAATGGATTTTTGCAGGAAGTATGTTGAGCTGAAGTTGAGATATCAGAAGAAGTGCACAAACATCCAAAAAAAACTTAAGCTCTGGGAGTTTAAAGCGAAACCTGCCGAGCATGTGGCAGAATCTGCAAACTTTGGTAGGGTCATCATAAGATCAGAATGGTTGTATTTCTGGGGTGACTGTTATGATTGTATTTACAAGGAAATTCAATGCAAAATGTATGTTTCAGACATTACATTATCTACTGGAATATATTCACCACCTGCAGTTGTTTCATCAGCCCATGTGTGTAAGAGACTGTATTGACAGGGATCATGCTGCAGTTTAGTGAATAAATTAATGCCCGAGATCATTCTCCAGTCCTTTCTGGTAGGCAAGCGGATCTTCTTCACTTCATTGTCCTGTGCTGTAAATCCAAAGAATTTCTTGATGTGCTTTGAAACATAAAGTTGAGAATGTCTTTTAGCCGTCTCCCGAAACAGTGAACTTTCATTTTCTAGGTACTGTGCCCAGTAGTTTAGATGCACAAAGCTGAGCGGAGAACAATATCTTGGAATGCAAACAGTCAAAAAAGCAATGATAGTCACAGAAGCAATTAAAATCCATCCAGCCACCTATGATTAAAAAAGAAAAAAAGTGAGAAATGTGCAAATTATCTGAAAACCTTTGCAGTCAATTCCATGGACATGATTTTTATCTCCCTTAATCATTGCAGATGTAATCAGAGCCCGTTGAATGTGAGATTAGGTGGTGTATGAAAAGGTATTAATTTGATAGTATCCCTTGAACACGTCGGTTAATTTTGTTTTGTACTACTGTATGTAACAAGCCAAAGCAAGTTGGCAGCCAGTTTTAGAGCTTCCTTGACTTTTATTCCAGTTCAAATTAATGCTCTTAATCTTTTAATTACAAATAATCCGGTGAGATCAGTCATTTCATTTTATTTAATCCTCGTTCTCATACGAACCTGTCTCTCTCTGAACTGCCTGTGGCCTTTTCTCTTTGGTCTAACCCTGAATATTCTGTTGACAAGGATGCTGCTGTTGGACTCTTAATTTCTCCTAGGTAGGGTTGAGTATGCTGAGTTTTAACTTTCAGACACTTATTTCTATCTTGCCCTGGACCATGGCCCTAACACTGAACATCAAGGTATTGTTTCCAGGACTGTCATTGACATAACCTCCACTGGAGATCTACCGTCCACAACCTCCAACCTTGTAGACCCAAAATAGTCTGTTCTATCTCTTCCAAAATTCCAGAAACAATTCTTTCCTGGTTGACCCATTGTGTCAGCTTGTTCCTGCTGCACTGTACTTATTTCTTCCTGTCTTCAGTATTTACTTCTCCTCTTATCTACTCTCCCTCTGTGACTCTTCCAACACACTTTCCAAAATGTCCAAATGTCCACAAATTCCTGTTCTGAGGAAGGGTCACTGGACCTGAAACGTTAACTCTGATTTTTTTTTTCTTCACAGATGCTGCCAGAGCTGCTGAGCTTTTCCAGCAACTTCTGCTTTTGTTCCTGATTTACAGCATCCGCAGATCTTTTGCATTTTCTCCCCTAACTTGTCTCACTAATGCCAATTGAAAGCTGTTGTTCCGTAAGGGTACTAGTTGGTGTAGTTATGTGGAGTAAATGAAATATTCCTTGTTCCTGTCTTAATCAGGCCTTAGTTCAGAGGGCCCACTGGTAGCACAGTCGTAGCCTCCCTACACTCGGACTGGGAAGAACAGTTCAAGTCCCACCTGCTCTAGAAATGTGTAATAACATCTCTGAACAGGTTAATTAGAAAAATAAAGCCTTACTTCTCAACTCTATTTTTTGCTCTCCCAAGAGCTGGAAAACTTCCAACATTCTCCTGTCTTCCACCTTTACCTGGCTCATATCGGACACTTCCTTTGCCTGACTTCTCGATGTCCATGTCTGGGTATTGACTTAATACTAATATTCACCAACTTCCACAACGACCTGGGCTATATTTCCTAACACCGGGCTTCCTGTAACGATTTAATTCCATTCTCTGTCTCATGTTGCAACCCGTCCACTTGGCAACTACCTTCCTCATTCCTCAGCCCACAATTACTGCCTACTGCCGCCCTGGGCCCCACTGTCCCATTTCTGCACGAAACCTTTTCTGCTGTCCCCTCCCCTGTTCCCCCGGCCCTCACGTTGCACCGCTTCAGTCTCCTCGTCAAAGGATCATCTTTGAGTTCGGAAAAGTTATTGGGAATTCAATAAACCATTTCTATTTTGTATGAATGACCAGTTATCATTTACATAACGAGATTGTAAATTTGCTAAATGTGACAAATGTAACACTGATGTCAGGTAAACAATTATAATTAAATTTAAATTATTTCGGAGACGCGAAAACACAAAATTCCTTTCATTGCCAGAAATTCCCATTTCAATTGTTCACTCGTGTTAAACAAAATACTGGTACAGCTGCGCATACCTGGGACTGATACAGAAGAATCCGGTTACCTTCATTTCTAATTTCACTGATGTTATGTATCTCCTTAATGCTCACTTTCGGACAGGGAAAGCGAGCGAGAATGTCCTTCCGCTCACGAAGGGTGATATTCTGAAACACATTCCAGCTGCTCACTGACAAAAACTCACTCATGCCGCACTGATAATACAAACCATTTAACAGAGTGACTGCCACCCAAGTCACTGGAGCGATTACAGCTCTTCCCGTTACACTGAGCAGGACATAGCAGATTAGTTTGAAACTATTAAGCTTCAATTGGGCTCCATTTCTAAAACTCATGATTAATTTCCAGGTCATATTATTAATGGCATATCCAAGAATCAGCAGGACCAATGCGGGGACCGCAATAAAAGACAGGGCGTAGTATAAATTCAATGTCGTCTTGCATGGACATTTGAAGGTGAAGAACGAAAATACTTGTTGACTAAAAATTGTTGTCAGTGCGATCATTGCATTCAGAACCATTCTCTCCCTGCCTTTCCAAAATGTCAGGAGATTGGTAATCGGCATTTTTTAAACTTTGCCTTTGTTCTCTTGGTACCACAAGTAGGTGAGCGTTGCTTTGTTCTTCTGTTCAGGAATGAGATGAGAAACCTATTGAGCTCAGCTTCTTTTGAAGACGCTGCATCACTTCCTTTGTCGAAATATCTCTTTTGCTTCTCATGGTCATTACAAGTTGTTCTGTAATTAGCAGAGGACAGGGAAGACGCTGGTTTGTCTTCATCCTTTTGGATTTCTAACCACTGACAGCTTTACTGATGAATGGGCTTAGCGGACTTTTAATTCAAATTCAAGTGTGATTCTATACAACAAGGTGAATAACTTGTAAGTACAGAGGGGTCAATGGTGATGGTCCACAGGAAAATACAGTTCAGTTTAAAGATATAAGCTTATTTTGAAATGTCTTATTTGTCATTCAGAATTAAAGACTACTTTGTAGACTGAACTCACATCTGGAGCAATTTCACTTCATTTATTTGGATTTGTGTTGAAGCTAACTGATTCAAAAACCTTTGGGATAGTTTTCCATTTTTCCTGCTGACCAAATGATTAGCACAGGACATTTGGCTGGCATCCATATTTGATGATATTCTTGTCTTACAAAGCATGTTGAAAATCTCAAATTGATGCAGCATCAGCAGGCTTTTGAAAAATATCGTGGTAGACATTTCGCTACATATTGCACTAAAATGAGTTTCTGTTTCCTTTGTTTTTTTTTGTTGTCCCATCTCTAATTTTCAGATTGTGCTGTGCTGTTCTATATACCCCGCATAGAGTGAGTATTCTTATTGCACCTACCCTCATGAGCCCATTCTCATTTAAATGATCTCATTTCCACTCATCAAGCTGACACACTCCATTTCCAGCACTTCAATACTGTGGGAATGTATAAATTAAATTCAGGAAATTCAATTAATTATTTCATATTTGTGTACATGAATCAAGGAATTGATTTGAAATATGTGTCTTATTCAATGGAAGCAATCCCATTTATTTGACCATGTAAGTCTCAGTGAAGTCAGAGCAATAAATTATCTCTGTAATGCACTTGGTGAGCCACCAGAATCAGTTAACTGATTAATGTGTTGCTATGGAAATGAAAGCCAGCAAATTTGTTTGATAACTGCTGGTTCTGTCATGGAGTTTTGAGGTAGGGTGTCAAGACCAAGCTAAAGTTTTGCGTGACAAATTTTCTTTTGTTGTGTTTCCATAGTCTAACCAGACTAGAGCTGCTCTCTCATTAGAGAGAGATGACGGGTGGTTATTTAACCTGAGGGTCAGCATATCTGAGGTGAAGGGAGAGGTTGAGAAGGAGAGTCTTTCATGGCAAGCTCAACCAGTGATGAAGTGAGAAATCACACAACACCAGGTTATAGTCCAATAGGTTTATCAGGAAAGGAATTCTGGGATTTAAATATATATATTAATCAACTAAACCTTCTAACTGATTAAAGATTTAACAGCATCTTAGGTTTGCTTAGTACATCCTCATCAAGGGTGTGAACCTTTGATCTTTTACTTCTAAATTCTGCGTCTGATACTACTTCTCTCACTCACACCTGAAGAAGGACTGAGGCTCTGAAAGCTTGTGTTTTCAAATAAACCTGTTGGCCTATAACCTGGTGTTGTGTGATTTCTGACCTTGTCCAGTCCAGTCTAACACCGGCACCTCCACAACCAATGATGGGAATTGAACACATGCTGTTGGCATCATACTGCTTTGTAACCCAACCAACCAGCCACAATTAGAGGATAGGCGACACATTGCTCAAGGCATGTAGATGTTATTCAGGTCCTGTTGAAAATTGTATATTTAGTCTTATTTTTACATGGAATTTTGCTATTATTTTGTTATTTATAGTTAACGAGTAAAACTGATAACTATTTGGGGAGCAGAGAAGTAGAACTGACTGAAGTATAGGTGCTTCTTGCATCATAAGTTGATCTAGCGTACGCTGAGAAGGGTTCTAGTGGTGCAGTGATAGTGTCCCTGAACCATGAAGGTTCAAATCTGATCGGCTCTGGAGGTGTGTAATAACATTACTGAACAGGTTGACTTTGAAAAGGTTTGAGAAAGCTACAAGAGCAATCCAGTGAAGAAGGGTCTCGACCCGAAATGTCAGCTTTCCTGCTCCTCTGATGCTGCTTGGACTGCTGTGTTCATTCAGCTCTACACCTTGTTATCTAAGAGGAATCCAGTGTCGGTTTTTACATGCTGTATTGTCAATGGCTGATTCAAGAAGTTTAACCTGTTGAAATTTAATAACTTGTTAAGTCACATTTCTTGTGTATATATGAACATTTTCTTATTTAGTATGTGGATGTACATACTAGAGAAGGAGCAAAACTTGACCATTTCTTGAGAAATAAAGCAGGGCATGTGATTGAGGTGTCAGTGGGGGAGCGCTTTGGGGCCAGTGATCATAATTCTGTTAGTTTTAAAATAGTTATGGAAAGGGATAGACTTGATTAAAAAAATTAAAATTCTAAATTGGAGTAAGGTCAATTTTGAAAGTAATAGGCAAGAACTTTCATAAGTTGATTGGGAGAGACTATTTGCAGATAAAAGAACAGTTGGAAAGTGGGAGGCCATCAAAAATGAGACAACAAGAGTCCAGAGGCAGTATGTTCCTGTTAGTGTGAAGGGAAAGGCTGGTAAGTGTAGGGAATGCTGAATGACTAGAGAAAATGAGGCCCCAGTCAAGAAACTAACGAGGCACATGGCAGGTATAGACAGCTAAGAGTGAGTGAATCCCTCTAGGAGTATAAGGGCAGCAAGAGAGTATACTCAAGAGAATAATTAGGAGGGCTAAAGGGGGATATGAGATAACTATGGCAAATAAGGTTAAGAGATTCTGCACATACATTAAGGACGAAAGAGTAACTAGGGAGACAATGAGGCCTCTTATTGATCAGCAAGGCCACCTATGTGTGGAACTGCAGTTGATGGGTGAGATATTATATGTGTATTTCACATCAGTGTTTACTGTGGAGAAGGATATGGAAGCAAAAGAACTTGGAGAAATAAATAGTGATATCTTGAAAAGACTCCATTTAACAGAGCAGGTGGTGCTGAACGTCTTAAAATGCATAAAGGTGAATAAATCTCTGGGACCTGATCAGGTGATCCTGGAACTTTGTGGGAAGCTAGGGAAGAGTTTGCTGGGCCTGTTGCAGAGATATTTGTATCATCAATAGCCATGGGTGAGGTTCCGTAAGACTGGAGGGTGGCTAATGTGGTGCCATCATTTAAGAAAGGTATTAAGGAAAAGCGAGGGAACGAAAGACCGATGAGCCTGACATCAGTGGTGAGTAAGTTGACAGAGGAGATTCTGAGGGATAGGATTTACATGTATTTGGAAAGGTAAGGACAGATTAGAGATCGTCAACATGGCTTTGTGCATGGGAAATCATGTCTAACTAACTTGATTGAGTTTTTTGAAGAAGTGACAAAAAAAATTGATGAATGCAGAGCAATGGATGTTGTCTATATGGACTTCAGCAAGGCATTCAAAAAGGATCCATATGGTAGATTGGTTATTAAGGTTAGATCACATTAAATCCAGGGAGAGCTAGCCATTCCAAAACAAAATTGGCTTGAAGGTAGGAGACACAGGGTGGTGGTGGAAGGTTGTTTTTCAGACTGGAGGCCTTTGACCATTGGTGTACCACAAGAATCGATGCTGGATCCACTACTTTTTGTCACTTGTGTAAATAATTTGGATGTCAACATAGGAGGTATGGTTGGTAAGTTTACAGATGACACCAAAATTGGAAGTGTAGTGGACAGCAAAGAAGGTAGCCTCAGAGTAAAACGAGACCTTGATCAGTTGAGCCAATGGGCCGAGAAGTGGCAGATGGAGTTTAATTTAGATAAATGTGAGGTGCTGCATTTTGGAAAGGCAAATCAGGACAGGACATATCCACTTAATGGTAGGGGAGTGTTGCCAAACAAGGAGAACTTGGGTTCTGTGGAGTTGGAGGTGCAGTAGACAGGGTAGTGAAGAAGGCAATTGGTACACTTACCTTTGATGGTCAGTGCATTGAGTGTAGGAGTTGGGATGTCATGTTGTGGCTGTATAGGACATTGGTTAGGCCACTTCTGGAATACTGCGTTCAATTCTAGTCTTCCTGCTATAGGAAAGATGCTGTTAAATGTGATAGAGTTCCGAAAAGATTTAAAGGATGTTGCTAGGATTCGAGGGTTTGAGCTATAGGGAGAGGCTGAATAGGCTGGGGCTATTTTCCCAGGAATGTCGGAGACTCAGGGGTGACCTTATAGAGGTCTACAAAATCATGCGGGGCATGGATAGAGTGTATAGCCAAGGTATTTTTCCTTGGGTAGGGGAGTCCAAAACTAGAGGGCATAGTTTTAAAGTGAGAGGGAAAGATTTAAAAGGAACCTAAGGGGCAACCTTTTCACACAGATGATGGTGCCGGTATGGAATGAACTGCCAGAGGAAGTGGTGGAGGCTGGTACAATTACAACATATAAAAGGCATCTGGATGGGTATATGAATAGAAAGCGTTTAGAGGGATTTGGGCCAAATGCTGGCAAATGAGACTAGATTAATTTTCGATTTCTGATTGTCATGGACAAGTTGGACTGAAGGGTCTGTTTTCATGCTGTATCATTCCATGACTCTATATTTCCTGCTTTATAAAGCTTTCCACTTTGCTATGTTTTTACAATCTCGTTGTCAACTTATTTATCACTCCTGAGTTTGTGACATAAAACCATGCCAGAGGATTTCAGTAGCAGAAACTAAGGTGTTAGTTTAAACATTATTTTGAATTTCACACTGTCCTGTCCTTAATCAATAATCATGTAATTATCAAAGTTCAAAGTTCAAACACTAAGAATAGCTGAGAAACCTACACACCAATACAAAATTCTACTGCTATGTTTAACATTGGTTGTATACAATTGTATAAAATAATATATAGCAATTGTATTCAATGCTTCAAAAAATAGAAAAAAATTCTCCACCTTTTTTACACATATCCATACACTGCATTATAAACATAATTTAAGGTATTTTAATATTTTTATATCTATC